GAGAATGGAAGAAAATGTGAAGTGGCATAATCGGCCACTCAAAGTTCCGCGATAAGCTGTCAGCTGCGTCGAACAGAGTACTTCATTTATTTTATTGGGTAAACTCGGAGAAATTAATATTAGACACACTGAACCAAGCGAACAGAAAGCAATTAAGAAATTTACGTAAGCAAAAATATTTATTCGTTCCGCGTTTTCATTGTTTGTCCATTGGTGTTGAATTGAAAAAGATGAATATTCTCAAGAGTATAAGTATATATATATATCTATTATATACATATATATACTGAGATTCATATTAATATATGCGCGAATAATGTCATAGTTACATGAAAGGGAATGAACAAAATTTTCGCCTTATAGCGGTTTTTGAGTTAAAGAAATTCAGTTATCGAGGTTCGATTGTATTTGTTGACTTTAAAGAGATTTAAAAAAAAAAGTCCTAAAAAGTACCTTCCTGATTCCGTGTATACTATTTTTAGAATCATCGAACTTTATGTTAAAATCAGTTTCATTATTCATGTATATATTTATAATAATTCATATAAAGTCAATGTAGCAACAATAATACAATAATACATCAAAAAATACAGATATTCGATTTAACTCTTCAAGTTCAAATGATTCGGACACAATGTATTTCTTTCAGTTTTTCAGGAGCTTCGAATAAAGTTGTAAAAAGGTGTTTCTATCAATGATTCGTCACTAACGATTAATCGCAACGGTAAAAATGACCGGCAAGTTGTTTGTTCAACAAATAATTCAGTTTCTCTTCATCGATTAGTGCATTTCCTTATTCCGTTTGAAACAGATTAAGGTTTAGAACGATTTCAATCGTGTAGTTTAGGAGTTACGAAATTTGTCCCTAACCCTCGTTAACTCAACGCGCTGTGCGACGTCGAGCAGAAAATGGCGCCAAAGTAGTATCGCCGACTCGAAGTCAGACGCAGAAACCCGCAAGCCAGTTTGCCCCGGCAGAATGTCGTAAACGAAAAAGATTTTGCCCGTGCGAAGCTGATCAAAAATAGCGCGCGATACGGCAGGGCTAAGCACGTTCACGATCGCCGGTGCATTAAACCCTTATCTCCTTCTGTTTCATTTTTCCGCCGCATCATTAATTCGCTTAGCTCGCTCGACCGGGCCGCGCCGCGCCCGCGCCGCGCCGGTCCGTGTTTCCACAGCTGTGGAGCCCGAATTTCGCGGCGACGCGGGGCCTCGGTTTTTTCTCCCAAAGTCCGACGCCGTTGGCACGCATCATTTTCCGTTTCGCGATGCAGTCGGTCTTCTCCTCGTCTCTCGCTTTGCTCGCGACATTCGAGCGAGCGGCGTGCTCCCGCGCGCGACTACGCATGTCGGAGCGCACAGGCTCTCGCACACGGACTCGCTGCGGCTATAAATAAATGCGTTTGCTGTTTTAATCTGTCCTGGGCCCGAGTATAGCGCGGACAAAGGGCGACTATCGACAACCAGAAAATCGTTGCGAAACACGCCCGGCCGGATAACGAGCGACCGCGTTTTCTCGGCGGTCGCGGAAGAAACCGTTTTCGCGGGAAGAAACCTTCGGGATACACTGCGAAACGAATCTAATGCGGGGGAGGGGCGAACCACCAACCAGACCTCCCTCGACCGCACGTGCACGTAACCTTACACCGCGAAAAATAGATTTCTCGGACACACACATACAAATAGAAAGAGAGAGAGAGAGAGAGAGAGAGAGAGAGAGAGAGACTTGCCTCGAAAGCGAAGACGATAAAATAATTCTAATCAGGCGCTTAATTGGTCGCAGAGCGATCCTTTGCGAGCGTCGCGAATCCCTATATCTTTTTCATTCTCTCACGGTCTGGCTTCTTTTACCGGGCCCTATCGGATTGAATTAAATAAAATCAAGGATGGTAAACCGATATAACGCATTGTTATTCCAATAATTAAGCAACTTGACTTTTCTGTTCTCCGTCAGAGACTGTAACGAAGGAAGAAAACAGGCAAGTAGTGTTTTCCCGTCGGCAAGCATTTTCGAGCGGCGTTGGTTTCGAATTTGTTTGTTTCAGCTGAAGCGGGTGGAACTAACGTCATTGCACAATATTGCACAATTCTCGCTGGTCCGCGTCGCAATAATGCTCCCGCATGTGTTTAACAAGGCTCAATAACGAGGATTCTTGCGTCGAATAGACTTTCTCCATCAAGTTCATCGGTGTGTATACAATCGCTGTGTCCGCCATATTCTATTCCGCTGCTTTGTGTCTCCGATGGCGCTCGAAGAGACCGAGACACCACAATTCCAGCTGGGTTCTATCGAATACGCTTGGTTTTCAAAAGATTGGCGATAAGACTGAAAAATCGATAGGACTACGAACAAATTGTCGATGTAAAAAAGATGGTAGGAACATTCAACTACCCGGAACAAAAGATACGCGTAAATCGAACATCCTCGGTCCGATATACTTTTTGAAAATTTCACTCCGAACGATTTGAATTTTATTGAGAATTATTTAAAATTTATTTATGAGATTTATTTAAAATTTAAATAATGCACTGATTACGTCTCGATAACTTATATGCATACTGAAAATATTGTTAGAATCGGTAGAGGTTGTTAAGAACTACAGACAATTAAATACATTCGACCAGAAACTGTCAGAAATCAAACGTTTTTGTCATATTCCAAAACCTGTCGCTTGTCTTTGCGTCGACCGATTTCGACGAAATATATCGTTAAAATTTTCACTACTAGGCTCTGATAAAAATGTTGAAAAAACGTAACTGTCGTATCTTGTTTGTCAATTGCTGCTTGTCTATTTTTGCCACGTTATTTACACATTACTCGGTAAACCGGTGCGTCCGATGTCTTAAAAAAATTCCAATCGGTTGATCCACTTTCGTAGAAGTTATTCCGTTTTAGAAGGTGTCCAACGACTGTGGTTGAATGAGGAATCGTGAAAAGAGCGCATCCGTCCAATCGACGATGCCAGAGCGTTAATTCGCTGATTCGACTAATGGTCCATTGAATGGAACAGCGCATCGAATGGCTGCCAAGTGGTGTGTTTATTTTAGACGATCGCTTTCGATCCTCCTCAAAGTCCTTTGTACTGTTTTCTTCGGACAGAAGGCTACATTGTGCCGAGCACAATACGATTGAACGCGATCCGTCAAGCCCTGTCGCGTCAGCCTCCCTCTTCCCCCCCTTTCGAGAGAGTAAAATCGAATTTAGAAGCGTGCCCGACGATATTCTAAGGCGACTTTCTAAATTTAAACGGACCACTTTCACGCCGCCATTTTTTTTCGCGGGCCCCGAAAACGTTTCGCGATTCACGTCGAACTGCTTTGCGCGCTGACGCTCGTGCCGTTTAATCGAATCACGATCGGCATCGATTCTCTGTCACATCGAATCGTTCCGAGCGATATTCCGTTTCCTTTGTAGTTCAGCTTCGAAATCCGTCAGCGTTAATCATTCGAGATCAGCTGCAGAACATTCTATACTTCCGCCAATGGCCACGCGACCATAAGCGCCGTCGGAGCACTTAATACCGGGATTTATTTGTTGCTAGAAAGCAGAAAATACTACTTGCTTTCGAAATAAATCGCGCAGCTGTTCTAACTTCTGCGTAATGACGGGTCCGTTCGGCAGCCGGTAAACAGAAACAGGGTATCCTTCTGGTTTCGCCGCTTCGCCGTGTTGTTGCTGCATTTTGGGAACGCTATTTTCGAAAGATATAACACGCGCGAGCAAAAATTGAAGCCATTTCTCAAAGAAACAGACGGCAAAATTCTTGATCCACGAAAATTCATCGTTACACCGAGGATATTCACGCATCTATACCGGCAGCAAAAATCTGCGAGAAGTTGATTAGGTGTCTATTTTAGCCGGTTTAGAAGCCGCTCGGTGTAACTCCACTTTTCTCTGGAAATATGTTACATGGTCGCACCTTTATTATCATAACACCTTTCGATCGATAAATCAATATAGTCCTTTTCTTCGTAAATAAACGACAGACAGCAACGCTTATAGCGACAACGAAATGACTTAAACGAAATAAAAAAAATTATAATAGAGATAAAAATAGAAAGATTTCAATAAAACGATCAAATATTAATTTCTTTTTTTATTTGATCATAATAAAAATTCGGCTTCGCATTATCAGCGGCGCTGTTATCCTTTTTACAGTTAATTTACAAAATCCTTACTTCTCTTTAATGTTAAGGTTAATGAACTTGCCGCTGATTGGCTTCTGTGCCGTCCATTTATACGGGAACATTTCTCGGCCCACGGTTCTCGAGTTCATTTCGACCGAGCGTTTTGAAAACATCGTCTGCCAGCGCAGTTGTCGATGATTAATTCAAATTGGTAGCCGTTCAATTAGGACAAAACGAGAGCAACTAGGCGATGTTCCTTTAAAACTACGATCAAATAGATCAATGGATAAAGATCCGAAAAGTCCTAAGCATCGACGATTACGGGGTTGTCCGATGCGTCTTCTGGTTTCCAAGGGTTTGTAACCCTTTATCGCATACCGTTCCCGATTGGGAACTTAATTTCAAAAGTTCCATAGTTTAAAGAGCCGAATAAAATTGAAAATTTTAAGCGTATGCTGGTGCCAAACGGAATTATCGTACTTATGATCAGCATCGACAGATGCCGCTGGTTGTTCAGTAATTAATTAGTAATTAACATTGGCTAGACATAGACACAATTGACTAGAATTGCTTGTCAACTATTCATTACCATCTTACCGTTCTGCCGATTGAAGCGTGATTTTTTTATTTATATAGCATCAATTTATTGTGTGGTCGAAATATTTTTTATTGTATTTGTTCCCGCATGGGAACGATCATCAAAATCGTAAAATAATATTATTGTTCTCCATGTTTTTTTCTCGTTTACTTTCTTCACATGTTATCGTTTAAGCGCAGTGACGGCAAAATGTATTTGTTTTAACTGGTCATAAAAATTCATGCAACGAAGGGTTAATAGCCGGAAATCGCGAACGTGATACACGATTTACCTGCTGATAAAGCAGTTCCTGCGCGAGGATATTCGCAATGTCGACTGGATCCATGGCGGTGGCTGCCATAGCTCGAGGTGTCGGTTATTCGTTCAGTGTTCGTTTCGTGGTCGATTGAAAGTAAACAATGAAGGGAAAGCGGGACAGTGTTTTGGGTTGGGTACTCGAGTGCGATTCGGGGGAGGGGGAAAGAAATGGTGTAGAAGGGTGGACGAGTGTCTGATGGTTTCGTGGGGATGTAGGGGGACAGGTACGGGGTTGAGATATGAAAACAGTAATTTCAGTCGATCGTTCGTTCGTGAGAGGATCGTTCGTGACGTCGGTGTGCGCCTCCCCTCCCCTATCTTATCGTCTCTTTCTCTCCGCTCTCTCGATTCTCTTCCGTCGCGCGCGCGATCTCGTCTTCTTCGCCTTAGTCTTCGTCTTCTTCTCACTTTTCGAAAGAGTTCGTCACCACTGCGTCCTCCACCGACGCCTCTCTTACACTGAGCCTCTCTCGACGCCGCTGCGCTGCTCTTCGTGGCCATACGCGACGAGGAAACCTAATCTAAAAATAACCTTCGAATTTCGAGTATGTGCGCTTGACAGAGAGAGAGAGAAAGAGAGAGAGAGAGAGAGAGAGAGAACCGCGAGACGGAGAAACGACGCAGAGAGAGAGAGAGACAGAGAAACAGTCAGCGGTTGAAAAAGGTGGGAGAGATTTCCGCGCCCCCGTTCAATTGCTCGCATGGCACATTGACCTTTTCGCCATTTTTTTACAAGCACTCGAAAAATTGCTCGCTTCCTTTTCTCTCGAAACAGCCAATTTATTCTTTAACTTTAGTCGCTGCTTGCCGAACGGAGGAGTTGGGCAAAAAGTAATCTGATTAATGATTACCGATTATGACTAACGTGAAATCATGTTCACGATTAATGATTACAATTACTATAGGTAATCTAGTATTCATGATTAATGAACAACTTAAGTAGTCGAAGCAAATGTGCTCGTTGATCATGATTCACAGAGCATCAGTCATGTAATGGTCACTTTTCTTTTTATTATGGTTTACTGAACGGTATTACGTTTGTTAATAATAATTCTGAATAGTTTAAAAAGAAAACCTGCATGCGTGTAAGTACTGGACTGCGGATTTGATGGATTTATGACAAAAACTGATCGGTGTTATTTGAAACGGTAAGAGAACTATAAGAATTCAAGGATGTCAAAATGTATTTAAATTGATCTTACAGAAATTGTTTAAGAAAGAAGGATATTTCTATGTGATTTCTACCGATTAAAAATGATTTAGAGAATCTTTATTTTGTGCATGAAGATCCGCTCTGTCTGGTCATTACTCAACGGAAGATTTTTTTATTTAGGCCTTATTATCACTTTCAAATTACCAAATCTAATCATGATCACTAATTTATTCTAGTATCGATTAATGATTATGATTACCATGATCACTTCTCGTAATCTCAATTATACAAGTAATCACAAAATAATCGATTACTCTCCAACTTCGTTGTCAAGTAAACAAAAATGGGACTTTTGTAATTAACGGATGAAAGGTATTTTTCGGATGTTAAGTATCTGTTATCTCGGACGGCGGTGATCGGGTCTATATGGACCAGGAGAATTAATATTATTCTTTCAGTATCTCTGACAATTAATTTAAATTATTACACGTTGCATTACGGTTGGTAGAAAAAAAGTAACGTATACAGAAGCAATGTCTTAACAAATATTCCGATGAAATAATAAAATGACAAATGATGCTAAGCGCGCACAGTTAAATTGTCAAAAATGTACGCCGCACAAGCGTTGAGATATTTCTCAGCGAAGAATACACTTGCGAATCGCGCAAAGTGTCGGGAAACACTGAATAATTTAACCTTAATTTTTGTTCAATATCGCCGAGCAGCAACATGTGGAAATAAAGTTGCAGAGTGAAGTACCATTTACAAGACGAACGAGATAACTAACTACGAGATAAACCCACCGGACGCATAAATATGTCTCTGAATTAGCACTTTTATTGCCGTACAGTTGATTCCAGTGAATCACTATAACATAAACCTCGCAATATTATTAATATCGTGACTCGATGATCAAACTGAAACGATCTAATACGATAGGACTGCGACATTGACAGTTGACGCCAATCTACATTTCTACGAACTAGTTCGCGGAAACTGATCTATGGGAACCTAACCACTTCGACGAACTAAAAATCAGATTCGAATTCGCGAAATAATTCTGCCACGATTTTTGCAATCTCGCGTCGATCGTTACAGCTTGGATCCGAACCTCTGGGTTGATAAAGCAGTCATCTATGAACCGCAGTTCGGATTCCGGTGTCAATCGAGAATTTCATCGCCAAGCGTGTCTCGAACGGCCGCGTTTTACGATTATGCGAGCGTCCGAGGCGAGTTCGGGATATTTAACGCGGCCGACGGGTCACCCATGAGGTTTGCAGTCGGGCAGATAAGAAAGGGGCTGTTGTCTTTACAACTTTCTCCATTGTTCCGGCTCGACGAGAGCAACATTCTTTTGGAATCGCGTAACGGTCCGAGAAGTTCCACGGGCTCGGCGCGGGCCGCCGATTTATCCGCGACGAAGATTTATATTAATGCGCCGATGTCTTTACTAGCTGTGAAAACACGAATCGCCTGACGCTGTCTGCGCGGAAGAAATTATTCGCCTAACAGTTGTCGCGGATGCACGCGGAATCCCGGGTCCAGTCCAATTTAATTCGATTAATGTCTTCTACTTACTCGCTCCGGGGGAAAACAAAAAATTGTTCTCGGCGTGCGGAATGTGTTTTAGATTTAGAGAATTGTTACGTCATTCGCATATCATAATTGTCCTCTTCTGGAGACGTATTTTCACGTGTGCATTAGGTGTTAACGCTGAATCTATCAGGGTCGTAATGATCATCGCGATTTTACAAACTTTAGAGACAGTATACATTTTTAATTGGAAAATCGTCACGATGCTATCAATCGTCTGTTGCGAATCGTGTCGGACTGTCGCATCTGCCATTTTATCACTTTCAAATTAATTAATATGTTTATGTCGTTTTATGTTATGTAATTAGTTTGGTGTTTATATTGTTAATTTGCATCGAATACACGTATTCCTACACAATTCTGATTCTGTATTTATTTTATTTATATAGTCTCTAATAATAATAATAATAAATAATACCTTAGAATTTTTTTTTTTTTCATTGATGCAATTATATGATAATAAGATTATGTTAATATTACAAAATTAAAAATGTCATAAGGTTCATCTTATTCAGATTATAAGGTTACTTTCGTTATTTTAAACAACTCTTGAATTGTTTTGAGATGTTACAAGCACTAAGTTATTGGACAATACGCAAAAGAATTTCTGCAAGAATTGCAGTTTGTTGAAAATTTGATCGAATTTCGAAAAAGTTATTTCATTTTAAAAGGTATACGCCCACTTTTCCTACCGAGTGTGTAAGTGCAAACGTTTCTATTATTATAAAGTTAGAATCTTATCCATTGGCGGTGCAGAATTCAACGACAAAATGAGAAGAAGAAAGCAACAGCTATTTGAGGACCGCGTAAAACGTAGCGAGCCTAAGCTCGAACAACCAGAACCCTGGTCGGTCGAGTTTATTCGCGAGCAATGGTTTTTCCGGTGGCATCCGTGAATTCCCAATTGCGCGTCCGTCCGCCTGGAGGATCTTAATTAGCCCGCGTTCTAAGTTTAAACACCTGTGGAGCGTCGTTTGTCGTCGACGCCGCCGGCTTCCCCGCGATTCGTCGCTTTTGGAGACTTGCCAGTAGTGCCACAGCTCTTCTAGTTTCGCAGAAGCCGACCGAAGCGGCGTTTCGATCTTGAAAAATTCTCGATAAAATATGTCAACAGAAATTTTGACCGTTGAGTAATCTCGTTGCCGCGGGATTCGTAAATGTGTCGGCCCACGGAAGCTCGACGGCTTTGTTGTTTATCTGAGCATTTCCAGGATGTGACTTCCTTCTTTACTCTCGTCGCTGATGCGACAAGATCCCGAAATCGTACGCTAGTCGAATCGACCCTTTTACAAGTTTTATTCGTCGTTTTTCAAATTAGATTCACTTTTTTTTTAAACAAACTTTCACATATCAGAATTGATCGCCTTTCGTTCAATTTTTAAATTTGACATGTATCTATATGCTTATTTATAAAGTAATACAGATTACAATACGAACTTTATTACAAATACATGATTGGAGATACAAGAATTTTATTTGCAATAAAGTGAATGCGATCTGTAAAGGAATTCATTCGGAGTACAGAAAGATAAATATGATGTACGAAAGAATTAATTTGGAGTCCTAGAAGGTGAGTACGAGCTACGAAAGGATTAATTTGGAGGGTAAATTTGTATTAACTTATTTTTTAAATGTTCGAGGTATGCAAAATTATAACCGTTCAAGCACTGTGTTCTCTAACGAGACAATCCTTTAAACGTTGATATTCAATTAGTTCTTTCGTTGACCAAAATATATGTTTATGGAAACTGGACATACCAGTAAGTAACTAATAAATGACAATTTCGCATAACTTTATAGAAATAACAAGACTGTATTTAAACAACTTATTAAATAATTACTGCATGATTAAATTATTAACACAACAAAAACGAATAAACAACACGTTTGTTTCGCATACCGATGTGTGGTTCTGTTTACAAAATTTTCCAAATCGCACAAGCCGCATATTCTCGACGAGATCTTCCGTGTTGGATCACGCGCAGCTGGAGCAGTGGCCATCGCGTCGAAGATCGCGGCAATTACCGCGGCGGACGCATGCATTCTATTTTTCCTTTTGTTTTTCTTCCGCTGCGATCGATTAGCGACGCGTGCGCGTGAGCGTGAGCCGATTAATTATTTAAGCGGGAGTATTTTGACGCAAGTTTCGTGACACGGTGGAAAACAGCGATAATTGGAATGCCGACGGAAAACCTGTTCTCTTTTGCGTCATTCGAGAACGAAACCAGCAGAGGCGGCAGCGATCCCGCCGCGCTCTGCTCGTACAACACGAGATGGACATTCAAAACCAGCTTATCTGTTCGCCGCGATACGAAAACATGTGGCTGTCAGATTACAATAAACAATCGACGGTGTTCTAACAGCCGTGGAATTTTTCAACACCGAACAACCGTGACCGGGAGGCGGATCCGTCCACGTTGCGTTGCTCATGAATAAAGATCGTTTGCCGAAGAAACATTTTTACCCGAATCTTCCGTCGAAAGAACACGAACGTGATCTCTCTAATTGTACCTCGAACAGATCCTGAAAATTCCTTCTGCGATCGTGTCAGCGAATTTGATAACGAAAGCCGCCGATTCCTCTACTCCGTTATTATTTCTGCATCGATCTTATAGAGCGATTTATTTATGCTGCCGATTCTTTATGCAGGCTTCTTGCTGCTTTTCGAAGAAAAAGCCCACGGCCACTCGAGACGGGTAATTAGACTGTGGACTCTCGTGCGTTTA